TCACTCCTTGCGAAACCCGCACACGTTCCACGACCCGACTCTCAGCTTGTGCTTTTCCCCATAGAGAATTGGCGCACTCCATCGTTCGCCTTCCGCTTCTTCTCGGCGTTCCTTCTGACTTGCTTGTTCGACTGCCCTGCTCGGTCCTTTCTTCGCCTCCGCCGCCCTCGCCTCTTGTCTCCTTACCTTCTCTGTTTCTATCATGTTCGCGATGCAAACCCTCCATCCAAACTTCCTTACGTAGTTCGACAGCTTCTCGATATCAACCCCCAAGCACTCTTGGCTGTCTCCCTTGGTCAATTTCACCCGGAAGTGTTCATGTTCTCTGCCTACTTGTCCCCTTGCTAGGCAGTGCAGTCTCTCCCTGTCACAACAATTCTTGAACTCTATCCTCGTCATGTCCCTTGGAATCCCAAACAGCAGCAGCTCCAACCTGTCTCCCTTCCACAGTTTCTACTTTCATCCTCCCGGCTTCTTCACCATCCTCATGATCTTTACGGCAACTGGACTATGGCCACTTGTTTTTCGTGTTCTTTCAGGAAGTTATACGGAATACTCGGCCTTCCCAATCCGAGTGTCCGGCGGGGGTTGTGGTTCCTTTCAGTTCTTTTGCCGGCTCACCGACGCTAAATAGCGCCTCCAACATAGGCTCGTAGTCTAGATCCAAGTTCACACCTCCTGACACAAGTACCCCAGTCTTGTGCCGGGCGCTCTGCTTAGTACACACCCAGACGTCCCCCGACCACCCAATTTTTCATCTCCAAAGTCCCGCGGTACACGCTACTTTCCTCCTGGGAGGTCATTTTCACCACAATAAGTTCAGGGACGACTTGCATAGCCTAAGATCCTACTCACACGCCGGGATGGGGCGTACACCAACGTCCAGCTTCTCATGTACGCTCCACCATGGGTTGCTACCCCACTTACGCTCCCGAGTAGACCTATCTGCCGAAAGTTTGACCAACAATTCCTTACTGCTTTATACTCGCTTCTCTCCAATCGAAACCAATCCATTGTGCGTGCCGCACATCTAGCTCCGCAGTTTTTGCGTGGTTGGTCCGGTCGTTCAGCTTGCTCGACGTGAGTAATAAGCTTTGCTTTGATGGCTCTGTGTTTTTTGATCCACTTCAAGCAACGAACCCCCCCCCCCCCTCCACCGTCCGACCCATTTTGGATCTCACGCCAGAGAGTTTTGGGGTGTCTTAGCTCTAAGTCCCCCCACCGCCCAATGGGGGACTTCAGTATTTTGTTTTACTGCCGTACCAATAGGCATTAACCTTAGTGAAGCTTGTGCTTACTTTGGACTGCACCCTCCTCGTCCTCTGGGGGAGGTAAAGAGGAGGGGGGGCGCATGGCCTCTATTTTTCAGGGGGGGTTCGGGTACTGGTTGGGGGTCGGGTCTATGTGTACTGCATTCTCGAATTGTCCCCTCACTATAGCTACTGTGGATTTTCAGTATACAGCGATCCTTGCTCAACGCGTCTATGTGTCCGGCACTCTCCAAAACACATCAACCTGTGAGGTTTCAGTATGCAGCTTTCTTCACTCAATGCGTCTATGTGTCCGGCAGTCGCAAACGTCACTCAACCCGTTAATCCTCAATATGCAGCTATTCTCACTCAAAGCGTCTATGTGTCTGGCACTATCCAACATCGCTCAACTCGTGGGGTTTCAGTATGTAGCTATTTCCACTCAGCGCGTCTATTTGTCTGTCTCGCAAACTCAAAAATCATTCCATCTGTGAGGTTTCGGTATGCAGCTATCCCCACTCAAAACATCTATGTGTCCGGCAATCTCCAATACAAATCACCTGTGAGGTTTCAGTATGTGTCTATCCTCGCTCAACGCGTCTATATGTCCGGCACTATCCAACATCACTCAACTCGTGAGGTTTCAGTATGAAGCTATACCCACTCAGCGCGTCTATGTGTCTGTCTCGCAAACTCAAAAACCAATGCATCTGTGAGGTTTCAGTATGCAGCTATCCTCACTCAACACGTCTATGTGTCCGGCAATCTTCATCACAAATCACCTGTGAGGTTCAGTATGTGCCTATCCTCACTCAACGCGTCTATGTGTCCGGCACTCCAACATCACTCAACCCGTGGGGTCTCAGTTTGTAGCTATCCCCACTCAACCCGTCCATGTGTCTGGCAATCTCAAACCTCACTCAGCCCTTGAGGTTTCAGTATTATACAGTTATAATCACTCAACACGTCTATATACACGGCAATCTCCTACATCACTCAACCTGTGAGGTTGCCGTACACAGCTGTCCTCACTCCACTCGTCCATGCGTCACGCGTCTTTGGTACCGCATACTATGGGGGCTATATTTGGGGTGGCGTGTTTTACAGCGCTTTGCCAACAACGCCAATCCAATTAAGTCTAGAAAGGGGGGTTGGAACAAACACCGGGGGGGGGCGGCTTGT